TAAAGGGGTTGAGGTGGATGGGGGAATTGGGAGGAAAAGAAAGAATGGGGATGGAGGAATACAAGGAGAGAGAAGTAGCAAGTGAGAGGGTGAAGAGGAGGAGGAGGAGGTAGAGGTAGCGAGTTCTCAGATTCTCAAAACACTTTGTTAGAATTTTCTCTCAGCTGGGAATGTGTAAACGAATCTCCCTTGATTACATAACGACACACAGACGGTACTCAAAGTGGCGTACGAATAGCACAGAGACTCTACCCATTTAAGAATAAAAAAAAATATTCAAGAATTTCTACATCTGCATCAACTTCAAATATGGCGTCCGTCAGTGAATGAGTCAGTTTGTTAATTAGATGAGTGAGTGATTCAGTCAGTAAGTCATGTTTGGCATTCATAGAGGTGTGTGACACAGGTGAGAGGGTGTTGAGGCAGGTTGTAGTGAGTGGGGCAGCAGTGTAGGTGTATTGACAGGCTCCCCCTTTCCTCTCCTCTTTACTCTTTCTACTTATTAATATTATTTAAATTGCTTCCACCCACTTACCACATTACTGTACTGTACATAAATAACTATACTAAAATATAGGTATGAATAGATAAAAGCCAAGCATTTGTATATAAACATGTAATCTAGATGATACCGTTATATAATAATTCTTTGAAATAATTACAGTAGTTTTCTGGAGCCACTAAGAGGCCTCGACTCTCACTTGGCTAACCCGTGTCAATGTTGTTATTGTTCACTTGGTTTATCCATTCTTCTGACGAAATAATTTGTCCTTATTTTATATATATATATATATATATATATATATATATATATATATATATATATATATATATATATATATATATATATATATAACAAACACGCAGTCAGTAATCAAAGAGCGGAAAAGAAATATTACAATAGCAGTGGGTTACGTGGGTAAACATAATTGAGCGTATCTGGCAGGGGAAAAGGCGCGAGAATTTTCCCCTGCCGCTGTGTCCCGCGGGAGGCTAATACGCGGGGTGAGCGACGCCTGGTGTGGGGGAAATTGACAGCCCGCGCCCCAGGAAGTGCAGGAAATAACCTGGAAAATTTGGCGCGAAAACCAAAGACTTTATTATGTTCGCTGCTGTTATTTTTATATTACTTGTATTTTGTCAGTTGTGTTTACGGTGTTTTGTTGTTTTAGTGTTATGTACAGTATTGTGTAATGTCGCTGGAGTTGAAATTTATTTGTTTATTTTATCGTTGGCAACAGAAAATGACTCGTATATTTTTCCCCCCATCCGCCCGAACACCCGCCAGCTAGTACCGTCGTCCGAATGCGGTACATCATTACTTTTAATTATCTTCCCTATATAAATCACTTCCTTTTCAGTTATATAAAACAAAAACATTGACCAGGGGACTCTGTACAGATCACTCGACTTAGGTTAATCACGTTATTGTCCGAACGAGTGAAGACATTAGTGAGAAGAAGGAAGCGGAAGCCGGGGCTGACAAACGGACGAGTAGAGGTATTGGGTGGGAAAATGGAAGACACCATATTAAAATGATACACGTAACGGCAGAATTTAATGAGATGGGAAATTCCTGGAAATTTGGCGCTTAGGAAATTAAAGTTAGTGGTGAAGTTTATTAAGTAAGTCTTTTGAGAGTTGTTACAGAAAGTTTAGGCTCGTAAAGTGATAATAATGCTTACGAACATACACAGACCTCAATACATATAGACATTTCTTATGCTTACGGACGCATATAAACACTTAAACAGACATACACCTATACAGTATACAGACATCCCTTACACCTACGAACACGTTGGAAAACACACACATGAATACACAGAATAATATTTACACAATCAAATACAGTAGAAAACACAAACACCTGTAGATTAATATTTAAACAGTGAAACAAACTTAAACAGACAAAAACTTAAACACACACACACACACAGCACGATATTGTACCAAAACAAAAGCAACCACCTTATGAGCTTCTTCTGGCAGAGAAAAAAATGAATACCGACAAGTCTGATACCAATATCCTCCCACCCAGCATTAAAGCGAGGGGGAAAATATGAGAGAAGGAAAGATAGAAATGTTGAGAAATCTTCCCGCGCCATTGAGAAAGTCCCTAGACGTGGAGGTGCAGTTATTATAGGAGCTGTCGCAATATTGACGGCTGCCTCGGGGGTGTAGGGTAAAATGTGTAGGGTGAGGTGGGAAATAATCCCTAGAGCAAGGACGGGTGGTGGGGAAAAATGAAAAAGTGTCATTTTTTTCTCCTGTCGTGTTAAAAAAAAAGTCGAGAAAGAGTTCTTGTTTTTGTTCATATTTAGACATACATTATGTACTATCTCTCCTTGAAGACGTTGAACTTGGATATACATGATCACACACACACACACACACACATACACACACACCTTGGAAGACGATGAATTTCGCAAAGGTCTTTTCTCTGGGCCACAATAGACCGCCACAAGAACTGCTGAACCCGCCAGACTCTGAAAGCTGTAATCACTAATCAACCCGCACCCTATCGCTGACACGAACGGAAAGTCGGGCGGAAAATCGAAACTCGGTTACCCAATGAAAGGAGAGCTTACGTTGCCGTTCTAAATGATTTGGTGGTGGTGGGGGGTCAGGGCAGCCACCCACCGGCGGGTATTCTTGCTTCGTTACATTCGGCTAGTTCTTGTGACGTTCTTTCCTGTTTGTAACCAGTACGTTCCAGGCACATTATAGTAGGTTTCAGACGCATTCTAGTAGGTTTCAGACGCATTCTAGTAGGTTTCTGACGCATTCCAGTAAGTTCCAAAGCAATTAGGTAGAAACATTCTAGCGGGTCGTTCCAGCAGTAGTTCCAGTTACACAAGATCTGGCCTGGAAAGACGCAGTGTCATTCCAGCAGAGTTCCGGCGACCAGGAAACAGTCCATTATCACTCAGGAGAGAATTAAAGGGTCCTTCAGCGTTCGTTCCAGGGACCATTGGCGACTCTTCCAGTACTAGCTCAGCGTTTCTTCCAGAACTGTCTTCTAAATCAGTCTTATGCCAGTGTATGTATGAGACGGACGAACGTTCTCCTGGCGTTGCTTCTATAGTGTCAGTGATGATAGAGAATGCCAAACTGTTGATTCGCTCATGGTGGCGTTGGTGTTACGATACGTGTGTTAGGAGTTTGTCGGACGTAAACTCTCTCTCTCTCTCTCTCTCTCTCTCTCTCTCTCTCTCTCCACGGTTAACAGTGATCCGGGCACGACTTAGTCCCCTTCCGGCAGTGTCATCCCAGAAGCAGCGATTTATCGGGTAATTTGGGAATCATTCCAGTCGAACGGTTCCAGCAGGCAATCAGGGGACCATTTCAACACCCGGGAGAGACGCTGGAAATACTGGAAAGAAACGGAAGACTCCCAACACTAGTGAGTTGGTTCTGGCTGGCTGGCTCCTATATTAAAGAAAAATACTGAATGCGAGATGTTAAAAGATGGGTAAAATTCATCATCCTTGGTGATGTAAAAAGTCGTACCGTAGCTTAATATTGTGTACCTTACTCTCCCTTAAGTGGTTGTAGAATGTTATTGCAGACTTTTAAGGTGCATTAGGAAGGCTTTAGTGAGCTCACGAGGGAGTTTATTAAAAAGGCAAGGGAGGTAATGGTGGAACTGATGATGTTGGGGTTTGGTGCTGGTCGTGGGGAGGTGAAGGAGTGGCCACTGCTTCTTATGAATGTGTGTGACTCGTTAACAAGTTCATATAGGTTCTTGACACAGTGTTAACTATTACGGGGTACTCTCTCTCTCTCGTTAATGCTGATGACTGTTGTGGTAATTCAAACCGGGATACAAAGGTAGGGGTGGGTGTGTGTGTGTGTGTGTGTGTGTGTGAGAGTAGAAGACGGATGGGTTTGGGTGTGTGGTAGTGGTGTGGTGGTGTTGTGGTCAAGGACTGCGAAGCTTCCCTTACCGGGTTACGCCACACATATACAGTATACCCCCGCCACACACGCACACACACACAGTCATCCACACCACCACAAACGTGATAGCTCCTTTTGTCCCTGTAGTTAAAACACGGATGGTCTTACAAAAGATCACCTGAAGATTAGCCCATCACCTGAAGATTAGCCCCTCACCTGAAGATTAGCCTCCCACCTGAAGATTAGCCCCTCACCTGAAGATTAGCACCTCACCTGAAGATTAGCCTCCCACCTGAAGATTAGCCTCCCACCTGAAGATTAGCCCCTCACCTGAAGATTAGCCCCTCACCTGAAGATTAGCCTCTTTCCTGAAGATTATCATCCCACCTGAAGATTACCCTCCCACCTGAAGATTAGCCTCCTACCTGAAGATTAGCCTCCCACCTGAAGATTAGCCTCCCACCTGAAGATTAGCCCCTCACCTGAAGATTATCCTCCCACCTGAAGATTAGCCTCCCACCTGAAGATTAGCCTCCCACCTGAAGATTAGCCTCCCACCTGAAGATTAGCCCCTCACCTGAAGATTAGCCTCCCACCTGAAGATTAGCCTCCCACCTGACGATTATCCTCCCACCTGAAGATTATCCTCCTACCTTCCCAGTTTATTTCACCTGATAATTAAACACCTTAACACTACTTATGGGTTAGATTAGCGTTAGGATAGTTAATCATAATGTGAGATAATCTGGGTGTGGGGGAGGGGGTAAGGTAGGTTTGCGTTAGGGTGGTTAATCTTCAGGTTAAATAAGCTGGGATGCCTAATCTTCACGTTATGTAGGAAGGTAATGGTTATGAGTTCGTGATTCAATGGTATTGTATCCCAGCTAACGATACCAGTAAGGTTTCTTGGTGTTCTGAAACCTTTTTTTTTGTTCTGCGGTGGTGGAGGAGGTGGTTTTTGGTATCGTATTTATGTTTTGTTGTTGTTTTTGTTGATGTTAATTGATGATGGTGTTGATGCAGCTTTTACAGTACTTAACCTAACCTAACCTAACCTAACCTAACCTAACCATGTTTCTTCCTTTCCCTTACAGTAATGGCACAGGAGGAAGGATGTGGGCGCTCAGACACGGAGACGTTGGTGCGGGCGTGCGAGGACGACTTACTCCCTACACCCACGCCTACGCCCACCCCGCACGCCCATCCACACCCACACCCAGGGAACACCCGTAGCCATCTCACTCCCGGCACATATGTTGAGGTATGTGTGTTGGTCACGTCCCCGAGCTTGTCAGCCATGTTGCTTGACTTGTGACTGACTGACTGAACTGAAGTTGACTGATGTGGACTGGAACAGACTGTAGAATAGGTTGACTCACTTGACTGATCAGGAGTGAAGACTCTACTCTTGACTGATCATGAGTATAGACTGTACTCTTGACTGATCAGGAATTTAGACTGTACTCTTGACTGATCAGGAATTTAGACTGTACTCCTGACTGATCAGTAGTATGGGCTGTACTCTTGACTGATCAGGGATATAGACTGTACTCTTGACTGATTATGAGTATAGACTGTACTCTTGACTGACTTGACTGATCAGGAAAATAGACTACTCTTGACTGATCAGGAGTGTAGACTGTACTCTTGACTGATCAGGAGTTTAGACTGTACTCTTGACTGATCAGGAGTTTAGACTGTACTCTTGACTGATCAGGAGTATAGACTGTACTCTTGACTGACTTGACTGATCAGGAAAATAGACTCCTCTTGACTGATCAGGAGTATAGACTGTACTCTTGACTGATCAGAAATATAGACTGTACTCTTGACTGATCAGGAGTTTAGACTGTACCCTGACTGACTTGACTGATCAGGAGTATAGACAGGTTGTCTCAGAATGGTGATAACTAGGTAGAGAAAGTGCCCATAGTCACTACCCTCCTGCCCGCCTCCTTACCACTCACCACCATTCCCCACCTACCAACACTTTCACCATCCGTACTACCACTACCACTACTACAAGCACACCTAATTATGTCACATTGTTATATAATCACTACCACAACTAGATTATAACACTACTGCAACCATTACACACAAACACACGCAACTATGGTATACACGTGTGCACAGCCGCAAACACCCATGAACGTGTATAGGTGTGTGTGTGTGTTTGAAAGAAAGATAAAGAGATAATTTCTCCGTATGTCAACATTAACCTTTATCTCTCAATCAACTTCAGTGTTATCTCCCAATGACGATGATCTCTTCCGATAACACAATGCCGCCAGTCTCTCTCTCTCTCTCTCTCTCTCTCTCAGTCTCTCTCTCTCTCTCTCTCTCTCTCTCTCTCTCTCTCTGGTCATAAGAACATAAACACAGTGAGAAAGTGTGAGAGGGAGTGAGTGTGTGAAAGAGAGGGAGAATGTGTGAGAAAGAGAAATTATGAGTAAAACAAAAAAGAAATGGGTGGACAGAGAGAGAGAGAGAGAGAGAGAGAGTGCCGCCTGAATGTTTTATCAGTTTCGGGTTTAAGTCATTCATACGAGGTGCATGTGGGTGTTTGGTCAATCGACAAGTACTGTTTTGCTGGCGTGTGTGAGAGAGAGAGAGGAGTATTTATTTGAGTATATTTGTGACACATGAATACACACACCCATACAATGTTGAAAATGCTCCTCCTGGGGTAGGAATGAAGGGATGATAAGGGATTGAATCTTATAAAAAAAAAAATTGGATCCCATGGGTGTAGTACAGTAGATCCTCATTTGTTACGACTGTGTCCTATAAACAGTAAGTATGGGTCGCCTCAACCTCCCACAGGCTCACCCGGGCCCCGTCGGAAGCGTTGTTGCCCCCATCTATAGTTTCTGTCGTTTATATATAGTCGACCCATATTTCCTCTTTTTTTACGCTGTGTGAAAGGTAAATTAACCCTTATGCTGGTGATGATTAGTATTTATCTTTATTTAGGGGAGGGTTTAGATAGGTGTTTATGGATAGTTAAGGGAGGAAATTGGGTTGTTTTGAAGGGGGTTGTAATTTGGTTGCGTTATGGCAACATTTGTGACCATTGGCGACGTACGGACAAAAATGGACTCCGCTGTCTGGCGTAGGGTCGAGTTTGCTAGTGGCAGTTTTTCGTGTGTTAAGTGGAGTCCACGTGAGGTTGTATAGTATAGAGCTAATAACTGACAGTGCCCAGAAATAGTAATAAATCGCTTGTTTCTTATTATATCTACACTATCACAGTTGTAATTCATAGCGATAATCTTAGGGGGTTATTTAACATATATTTTTGTCTTATTTCCACTAGCTTCGTAATAGAGTTATATAATCAACAAAGTTCTCTTCTTCCCCTTTCTCCTTGCAGTTGAGTTCCTGTTACTTCCGGGATTTATTACAAAGACAGGTAATACAAGCTGTACCCATCTGGGAGTTGTAGATATGTTTAGAATTTTAATCTTAAGAGACGATCGGTTTAGGGAGCGTTGATGTTATAGAAAACGGGATATGTAGTACAAGTTAAGGGTAAACTAAAATAAACCTTTGCCCTGGGTTTACAAGGTTATTGGGAACGTTGTATTTTTTGCTCGTCTTTCACTATTCACTATAGTTAGGTAGTTTTGTACACTAGTAATTCAACGTCAGATGCGTTAGTCTTGTGTAAACTAAAGTGAATTATTACACTTGTAATTTTTTTAAAAGCATAATCTACACAGTAAAGTAAATTACACTACAAGTAAAAATATAGTACTACTCTAGAAGATTAATCTCTGAAATGTAAACGCATTACCCTCTTGTCACGTTAAGCACTACTCTACAAAAATTAATGTATATGAAGTGAGTTGTACCAGTGTTAAAGTGAAGCACTACCCGGGTAAGTGAGTGCAGTATATATACAGGACGTGGACGGCGGCTCCTCTGTTACTGCTGACTTATCTGTAAGCTGGTCGTTGGTCACCCTCTTGCCCTTGGTGTGGTGAGTCAGCGGCCTGGGTCTCACCTACTCGCTCCCAAGGTTCTTACGTTCAGTTTCCCCATTTGAACGTATCTTTAACTGCCTCATTGATGCCATTACACTCAGCTCCCGACTGTATCGTTAACTATACCACGGGACTCAACCAGATGCGTCAGTTTTAAAGGCATCGTTTTATAGGAGGAAAAATTAACATAGGAATCTGAGAATTCGGACGTCGGCTCTCCCCCATCCTCGACATAAAAGCTGTCTCGTAGGGGAGGGGAGGTAGGCTACGAGGCATTAAGTTCACGGACGTTTTAGCTTGATTAAGTTAGATTAGGATTAGGGTTTAGGTTAGTTAAGTCTAAGGTTAATTTGACTTAGGCGTAAGATAAATTTAGTATTGTTTAAGGGTTTTTTTTAGTGTAGGGCATTAGTGTTTGGTTAAGGTTACGGGGTGCAGGTAGCGTAATCTGATGATACGTTTTGTCAAGATTGGAAGTTGGATAAAAAAAATGTTTGATTAAGTTATATGTGTTACGGTGAGGTTTTTATTTAATTTCTCGGGGGGTAATTTCCAGTGATGATTAGTTAAGGTTATGTTATGTTAGAATTGACCTTTATCCAACGATAATTTGGAAGATATAAAAAAAACCCACGAAACAGATGAGGTGCTTTAGTTATGAAGTCATGTAATTAAACCTTTTTCGTGAAGCCAGATTTTCCAACGTGTATTTTGTGTATTGTTGTGAACTTTTAATTAAGGTTTGTTTTTAAACTTTTTATCCTACCTCTGCCTTACATAAGAACTTCTCGGAAACCATTCCGTGGTGTACGAACTTTTTTTTTGTTTTACAGCTGAATGACTTGAGGTGGTTTAGAATTATTCATAACGTGGCACTGCCGGCTTCCACAGAGGTGCATTGTGTTGATCAGAAGTTCTTTACAGTTGCTTGTGTGGTAAGATCTTCATTAAGCTTTGCCTAGCCTGGTCTAGCCAAGCTTAGCATTGTTTATGGGAGTGATTTTGTTTGGCTGGTTATTGTTTGTTTCCATTTGTCTAGTGGGAAGTTGTTTGCTTGTATTTCACCTCCAAAAATGTCTCGGATTTTTAATTGTTGATATCGTGTATTTTATTAGTCTAGAATACAAACTTGAAAGACCTTAGTTGTTAAAGCGCAGTAATAATATCAACACGAACAATAAACTATAAAACACAGCCTAGCTTCTGAGGGCAGTAGGCTGGACTGGGGAGGTGCTCAGGCAGTCTTCCAGTGAAACTTACCTTCCACTGATGAAGACAGATTGGCCGATCAGGGGCAGGTGAATGTAACAGTTGGATTCGGGTACCGGTTTATGAGTGTGCAGTGATTCGGGCTTGTGAATCTCTCTAACGGTACTACTGTGTGATTCAAGCTCGTGGTTCGGGTTTGTGAATATATACGTGGTAGTTATTGCAAGGATTCAGATACTGCATTGATAATATAGGAACACTTTGACGTAAACTCGAGCAAATACAAACACTCCTACGCTGATATAGGTACACACGCACACACACACAAGTAAACCGGACAAGCAAACACGGAAGACACCACTTATGATTACGTAAGAAACGGAGATATATAGATCACATAACTTTTAAAGACATTAGAAAAGATACAGATTAAAGATAAAGACAAACAGGTATCAGCCAAAGACAGACACAAACAGGTGATGTAAACCGGTGAGGTAAATATCAGTGTTTGTTTTTTATTTATTATCACTCTTTTTGTTCTTTTGTTTAGCCCCTCTTGCATCCCGTGTTGGGGGTACATAGCGACTAGCGTGTGGGTGTGTTAATTTAATCACAAGTTAGTAACATCGACTGGACTTTCACAAAACTTGCTGTGTATGGGTGGATGGGGTGATTGTGGCCTGTATAGTCCACCTACGATGATCTGGGAGTGGAATTTAGATAATTTAATGTCTAGTTAACCACGGCCAAACGATGTTGTGACACGACTGCTGCTCAGTATTGTTTCTCGTGCCATTTTAATAGTTTGTTTTTCTTTTGTTTTATACTTTTACTTTGTAAGGACTTCATTACTCTTTTATAAACTGTATTTATTAATGTAAAAGAGTACCATTAGCTACAAGTGTGTATAGAGTTGTGAAAGTCAAGACCCTCCCTCCTGTTGATCGTCTCCGGCTCCACAATACTCCGCTGTAAATAGACCTCATTACGCCAGCTGTTTAAACGTGGGTGTATACTGTATGTATGTAACGAATTAAAGTGTTCGACCACTCCCTTGGGCTATATAATAAGGGGTGCGTGTGGTAGGGGGGCTGCTCTTACAAGGTTGCCTGCTGCGTTTGGCTATGTGTATGGATGTGTGTTTATATGTTGTTTCTATGCTTGCCTTTATTAGACGTCTAGATGTTTGCATGTGTGTATGTATGCATCTGTGTCTTTCTGTCTGCTTGTTTGTCGGTTTGCCCGTCTCAAACATCCGTCAGCGCCAAGACCACTTTTCGTCCCGTCGACACAGGTTCACTGCCCTCCCCCCTCTCCCCTAACTACGTTCCTCTTTCGGCGTTTTGTCAAAGGAGAATCGATTGTGTGTACTAGTGTGGTAGGGGTGAATTTCTCGGGCGAGGCGGCAGTGTTGGTGTGGGCTCCTTATAGCAAGTTGTCTGTAATCAACTTGGCGTCATAGGGTCCCACCAGCTCCGACGGCCTGGGTGGTGGGGGAAGGGGGGTTAGAAAGAGAGGTAGGTGGGGTAGGATGGGCAAGGACGAGGTAGGAGAGTGTGAGGGGAGGGGTGTAGATGGAGATGGGTATGAGAAAAAATGGAAGGGGGGGAGGAGGGGAGAGGGTTTAGTGGGGGAAGGAAAGGATTTACAGGGAAGGGAAAGAGATTGAGGAAGTGACAGGCAAGAGAAAGTAAGTTAAAGGGAGAAGGGAAAGGTGGGAGAGGAGAAAGCAATACGACAGGGAGAGGAAGAGGAACGAAAGGGAGAAAGAAAAAGGGAAAGAAAGGAGAGAAGAGAAAAAAATAAAGAGGAAAAAGAGGTGGACAGGGAGGAGAGAAGGGGAAGCAAGGTAAAGGTGTTGGGAGGGGCAACGGGGAAGCATTGAATGAGCTGTACCGTTCTTTATTCTCACCTTCATCACTGTGGTGGCTGGTGGTGTATTCATTACCAAGGCGGTAGATGAAAATATCTTTCAATGCCAAACATAAATCTGGATATTAAAACAGGGCATTAAATTTTAAGAAATATCATAGTCAATCAATTTACCTCAGGTTATGTTTGAGCTAAACACGGAGTGTAAATAAAACTTATTAGTATCTGGATTTTTTTGTCTTTTAAATCGTTATTCATGTGTTTTTTCTGGGACAATGTTTGGGGTTGACTGTTATTAATGTAGGACAACAAGAGTTACTGATCATTATACCCAAAGGAATCGCCTATTACTGTGCAAGCTTCAGTCTCATGAAGGATCCATTGATCATTACTGTGGCAGGCCCTCTCAATGAGAACATCCCCTGCAGCAGCCAGAGTTATTTTGTTTTCTTCTGTATATTTTCATATCTCCCATTTTCATAATAGATGACACAAGTGTCAGGTGGTTTAGCAGCCATCTTTGATTTCAAAATCAGTTTTTAATTTCTTTGAGCTCACCAAAAATTTGTTCCTAACAACACACACAGGAAATAAATGTATTAAAGTAGTTTGTAGAGTTGGTACAGTGGAATAAATAACTAAACAAACTACATACTGGGAGATAAACAAACTAAAGTGCTGGGAGACATTTCTTATTATGGAAGATTAAATTTTCTTGGTTCAGATTTAAAGGTCCTGATCTGAACTGATTCTTAGACAGGACAAGGTGTGAGGGTATTGAGGTAAAAAAAAAAAGATACACCTTTACCTGTTCCTCAGAGATGGTTTATGGATTAAGATAACAAAACAAGACAATTCCAAAAGTGTGCACATACTGTACAGTAATCTGCTGCCGTCAGTGTTGACGTCAACACTTATATCCAATATTTACTTCATTTCCCATACCTGCACTGCATCATAACAATATTAGTATATTATTTTCAACAATTATAATGTACCTGTATAGGAATTTCTACAGCTTGCACTGTTATATCCACAAGCACTGACAGCCATTATTAGATACTTTCACAGTAATCTTCAGGTCTGTTGCTGAAATTTCTAGAATTACTTTGCCTTATTAAGCACCTAAGCAGTAATCACTTATGCTTATCGAAAACTCTACCAGCACTTTCGCTTATCGACCATTTAATCAATTACCATCAACACTTGAAATCCCATTTCCAACACTTTTATCATGTGTACTTGAAGAATTTCAGTTATCTAAAGTACTAGGATATTTTTTTACATCTTTGAGCGAGCAAAAGTTGTGAGGACACAAGAAAAGTATTTGCCAAGACAGTACAGTACAGTACTGTACTACATGCACATTGGTGTGTAATTCGATTTTCTTATTATTCGACATAATGGAAAGATACATACATGTATATTTTTATATACTGTACAGTATACTGCATTTTGATATTACAACTTCATATCATGACATATTTATACTGTATAATTCTTATATTTCTTAGTTACTCTATTAGTGGAAAATTATTTGCCGTACTTCATTGGTGACTTTTTAGATTCACATAGTACAGTACAGTACAGTACTGTACTGAGACATTAATTTCTTATTTAAGTGGCGAAAAAAAATTATATTCTCCTGTGATACTGTTCAGGTTTATTATTAATGAAAGAGTAACATAGCACAGGCTGGTGAAAAGTGCACTTGTGGCATCTATAGCAGTTATGTACAGTATTTTAGTTTTAATCAAATTTACTGTTTTGTTTGCTTCTCTTAAACAAGTTTTGCATCCTTCCAGGAGGTGTCGTGTGATGTTAGTGTGGCTGCAGGTGAGGCGGATCGTCAGGAGTTCTCCTTCACCCTCTATGACTTTGATGGTCATGGCAAAGTCACTAAAGATGTAAGTATGCTGTACACTGTATTTCTGACTAAAAATTTTTCTGTTAGAGCAGGCATGGGCATTGGACAACCTTTCCTCAGTCATGGGCCACATTGCTATTTTGGTATTATTCTGCAGACCAACCCAGCAAAATTTATATCCTACCTAACCCAAAACAGGGCGGATCCAGGAATCTCAAGGAAGGGTCCAAAAAGTTGTGGGTGAGGGAACATGGCAATCACAGCGAGCCCACCCAGCTGGGCATGTTTGGGGTTGGCACTGTAAGCTGCCCTCCCCCCCCCCCGAATTTTGTTTTAAATCTGAACAATATCATGGACATTTTGAAGCCATGTGCACTTAATATTAAGAGATATTCTGAGGTCAATAATAATTCCATTTTACTGTACAAAAATGCCGAGTACAATACTGTATTGGAATTTTCTGATTGTCTGATTTTATGCGGCCCATGGACCGCAGGTTGCCCATGCCTGTGTTAGAGGATAGATATTTATTAATTCCACTTCGCGACCAATGATAACACAGCTAGAATTGAATACCCTAATATAAAATATATCTTCTAGTTTATGATTTTAATGATTAATTTTTTATATTTACAGGATATTGCTGGGTTGGTGCGGACTATATATGAGGCTGTGGGGTCTTCACTGTCCCTCCCTCCAAGTGGGTCTCGAACGATCCGTGTTAAGTTAACAGTTGCCCCCGAGAATTGTCGAGGGCGCCAACAAGACTTCCACCACCAGGAGACATGTGAGGGTAAGAAGGGTGATGAGGAAGGTGATCCCTGTGAACATCCATCAGGACGCAGTCACCGAAGACGAAAAGCACGAAGGCGATCTACGTCCCTCCAGAGACATGAACTACTTCAGATAATACAGGCAAACATGGAAAAGAATAACCTCTTTTACACACCACTTCATCGTCGACATGACCATCACCACCATGATCATCACCACGACCACCATCACAACCGCAGACGTCGTCGTCATGGATGTGGATGTGACCACAGTGGCTCACCCCCAGATCCAGCAGAGGTCAAAGCAAGACTACTAGAACCAGAATGTCCATGTCGACATACTCACTACCATAGTCACACCCATGGCCCAACCAACACTGCCAGATCCATGGGATGTAGACGTCACAACCGGTCTCATTCCCACGACCTCTCACACGACTCGCCCCATGTGTTTCGTTACCACCTGCTAGATAAAACTTTTCAACCACTGCCTCCTTCGAACACTCCTGACCAGCCACCCTCTCCACCAATGGCTCACAATCCCCACAGTCATCACCAGCAACAGTACCAGCACCAGACCAGACACTATCACCATCACCATCGTTCAAGGTCTTTTGATGCAGGAGACACTCAAGGTTCTTCACCAAGAGGTAGGAGTGGAAGACTGCCAAGAAGTCAACAACAAAGTCAGACTCCACCACAGAAACAGTCAAAAGAACAGCAACAAAGTTCTACTCAATCAAAACAGGAACATCAGGGTGGCAATGAGGTGTCCCCTCACCACACTAAACATCGCCATCGAGAAGCCGATCATGCACGTGCAATGGCCCAGGTGGTAGCTTGGTTAGAGAGAGGCTCATTATTGGATTCCCAGAAGTCTCCAACAACTCCTGAAAGTGGTAATGGTGGCATTGGTGGTGTTGGAGGTAGCAGTGGTAGTGGTGCATGTAGAGAACAAACACATCATGTTCATCAACACATCCACCACCATTATCATCATTACGCTGAGAAGCAGCCGCCACCTCTGCTTATTTGAGAATGTCCTCACTGCACCCCGTCACACATTACACTGAGTCTTACTGTTAAATACTAACCAGGTTTGGGAGTTAATTTTTTTTAACTCTTAAAGAAGTAAGCACGAAACAGAGAAACCATCTTCTTGTTAAATAATCCATCCAGTAATGTTTGTGGGTGCAGAATTATAATATTGATCATTTTTAACATTCTTGTGGTCATCAGTTGTAAAACAGCGGTCATAATGTTCCTGAACATAAAATGAATTATTCTAAATGGAAACAAAATTTATTTGGAAAGTATTTAAAAAAATAGTACATTGATGTACAATTGGTGATCCTGTCAAATTGTGATTAGTCCTAGAGACTATGAGATTTGTTTACAGTCTCCTAAGTACAACTTTACACCAACATCTTGCAATATTAATACTTCTTGCTGTATGCTGGTTCAATGTTTAATGTGTACAGATTGCTGATGTTTGTGAAAATGTGGTCTCCATACAAATGAGGAAAGAAAATGGCTTTTCAAGTGTCATGAGATCTTACCAATGCCCTTTTATGTAACTCATAAGTTTGCAAACAGGACTGATAAGTATGTGCATCTAATTCCATAGAGGACTGTTTAAAGCAGGTGCTCTGCTGGTGCCCATGCTTTGGCCAGTTCAACAAATGCTTGCAGTACTGTTGTTTAAATTCCATTCCAACTTAAAATTTGAGTGATTGACTATTTTGATACAATCGTAAATTTTACATCACTGTTCTGAAGAAAAATTATATTTAATGCAGTATACTAAATGCCAAAATAAAATAGCATCTGATGAAGCATTTTTGTGCTAATATTGAGCTCTGATTATCGGTATATAGCTACAGTCCCAAGAAGAGTTTTCAAGCCTGTTCTACTTCCAGGCTTTGTGTCTCAGTGTTTTTTAAAAATAATAATTCTTAAGTTTCTAACATTTGTGGTTTCAACTGCAGATGTTTCTGTTCCCATTCCAATGTTATCCTCACATATGGTGCACATTGTAGCCTTAATCCTCGATGCCATCATATTAAATGTATCCTAATGCTACAACTCATAAAAAATTATCAAATACGTAGAATATTGGTGGCTGATAAATGTAAAATATTCCCAAACAGCAGATAAACATATGTTTAAGCAATAAATAGAGATAATGCTAATAAGCAATGGACTCGGGTTCTCATGCTTAAAGGAAACCAAATATCACATACAGTATGTGTAAGAAACTAACACGATTGTGACAGAGAGGACTCAGGTTAGAGCACATTACAGCATGTGTGAGTAAATCTTGACTGAATTGCATACCTCAATAATGGTTCACATTGTACCTGTTGATCACAGAGAATTAATCCTGAAACTAATTTTATGCATTCCTTCAGTGAGTTCAAATTTACACTAAATTAATACAAGTTTTATCGACAAATTATTTTTAAGGTTGATGTTCACAGTTCACAAAATTTAATGTTCTCTCAATGATTACCTCAATGATGTTTTCATAATAAAAAAAAACCTGTCTCAAGATTATGAATAAAATCTAGATGTAACACTATTGTACAGCATTTTTCAGCCCAAATGGATAATTTTTCAGTTGGTGATGATAACATTTTGCAATCAGAATTGACAGTTGTAAAACATGAACGAACAAATATAGCAACAAATGACAGGAGACATACTTTGAGTTTGAGCGTACACTGACACTCAACACAGTGAATGCTTGAACTCAAAATATGTCTCCGATGTCATTTGATGCCTTATTTGTCAGTTCATGTTTTATATCTGTCAATTCAGATTGCAGTATGTCATTTACTGGCCTTCATTTGTCACCATCGACCAAAAAACTGTTCATTCGAGCCAATAAATGATGGTCATACCTGTAAAAGTTTCTAAAGGTAAAGAATTTTAACATTACAGTTTACTAGAAGATGTATTTTTTTGCTGTTGATTTTTTTCTGTAATGATCAGTGTAAAAAATCAGTTAAAATTAATTTCCTAATCTAAAAGAAAGGGTACTTTTTGCCATAAAATTTGCCTTGCCATTTTGTTCAAAATCTTAATATACTGTCAGTACTGTACTCCTTATTTTGAATGCTACTCAAATGCTGTGTTGCTTTTGATAATATTTTTGTGTTTCAATTTTCAAGTGTTGTAACGATTCAAATGCATTTAAAATCTAGTCTTGTTTCCCCAATTCGGCAGTAATATTGTAGCAAAATTATAAATAGGAGTAATGCACATACAGAACTTACTGTGTATTTGTTAGTATCTCCCATGAAAGTCAATCACTGAAGTAGCACCTGATACTAATTATACCAAAATAAGACATTCCTACACAACTAAGCCCTAAGTATAAGTTTTCATTGCTGATGTACTGGAATAATACCACACTGATACCAGTATTCTTAAGATTATTATTGAGGATGCATTTGAGCACTCGAGACTGATGACTCGTTGCATACTTATCTCTAACAATTCACTCCTGAGCATATCACAAGATTTGTTAGCTTTGAAATCATGTAAAATATTCATTGTCCCAGCTATACTGTTCATAGGCTTTGTATACCAGTTTCAGAGCTAAGTATCTATGTAAGTAAAATGTATAGCATCTGACCTTGTACTGTGTACAAATGACAAGCTCTTATTCATGAGGAGAGGTTATTGTTCTCCTAAGACAAGTAAATACATTAGCTTATTTTTTTTAAGTTCAGGACAAGTTTGGGAAGAGAAAGTAGATATTTCTGGCCAAATTGTTATAGTAGCTGTTAGTGAGAATAACTTTACTCTCCATTTGTCCAAGAAAAATTACTGGAGACTGATATGGGAAGGTCATAAAGAGTTTTGTGTTCCCATTATTGGACTGTGTGAACTTTAAGTTCATCATCTGGCAATTTTATTATGATCTAGTCTTGTTCTTAAGTAATTTATCTGTTGAAAAACTAAAAACTGTCCTCTGCATTTTTACTAAATGGCACATGTATGTTGTGACATCTTGAAGTTCCTTTTTAAATTAATGTCTAGAAAAGATTATATCGGGTGGAGTTTTCGCATTTTACCCAACAAAAAAATTAAATAAAAAATTGCGGTCATGTATATTTGGAAGGGGCCAACTTAAACAAAGCAAACTTTCTGACCACAACTTAAACATGAAGCATTTATTATTTGCAACATGTTAACTGAGGATACAAGATTAAAAAGTTATGTACAGTCTTGCTAATAACTTTCAAGGTCATTAGCAAGATTAAGTGACTGATCTACAAATACTGTATTACTCATTTGGACAAATGGTTATATGGCAGCAAAGGAAGCACAGGGCCAGAGACAACTTCACTCCTGATGTCAGGAGTAAAGTTGTCTCTTTGGCCCTGTGCTTCCTTTGCTGCCATATAACCAGGCCCGTCCTTTAGGGGGGGGGGGGGCAAACGGGCTACCGCCCGGGGCCCCGCAGGGCCCAACACTAGACCCAGTGACCTCAGACACATTACCTGTTGACTGGTTAATCTGACCTGACGGCTTACGCCACCATCGCAACCGTGACCTTACCATTCATAGCGACAGTCCCATGGGGGTTGGTGGGGGTGGGTTCCTCTGACTCCATATACAGTATATATATATTTTCTGGGATCCCGCACCCGCCTAGGGACGGCCCTGCATATAACTGACTGATCTACATCAATTATAAACTTTAGGATGCCACACCCAATTTGGCGAGTGGTCAGAATGCCAAGTTTTTTTTTACATGTATTAATGCAGAATTTTTCAACTTTTTTTTTACTTGGACTAAGATAAGATAATAAAAATTTTATGATGATTACATCTAACTGCCAGTTAGATCACACTAGTAAACCTCAGGTGTTGAGAAGCTTCCTAGCAGTAACTCTGGCCATCAAGGTTTTTGAAAGGACAATTTATGACTCATCTGAACTACCTCATTAGGTTCACCATAACCAGACATTTGTATTTTTTGTATAGGTAGTTAAAATGTAAAAAGTGTAATAATAGTGTATATATCCATGTTATATGTTATTGTTGTCTTCTTGATTTGTATTTGTTCTAAAATACATTCAAGGATTTCATTAACCATTTTTTATTATTACCGTATTTGTCTCGGCAGTGCATTTATGACAAATCCAAGGTTATGAGAATACTTTGAGTAAATGGTGCTTCATCTTACAATTATAATATAAAAATCATTCCATGTATTTTTACATAGTACATACCTAATTCAGGATGAAATATTTTTTGTTATAAAATTAGAGATTTGAAATTTTTGTAATTAATGAACACTACAGGAGACAATCAGTCGAAGCCGAGCTGATCTGTGCAGTCATATTTATTCAGAATGTGTTATGATACATTTTGGTTTAATAACCAGCTATAAAAGGCACAAATAAATGTGTTTCACAGCTTTAGCATTTCATTTGTATACCTTCTCTTAGAGTACCTGAGTAATGTATATGATAATTCAAGAAAACTTTTTATAATCTTGCACTAGACAGCAAACTTATCATGCAATATAGGAAGTTCCTTTACTGGATGATGAGCAACTTTAAAGCATTTCATTTTGAATAACCTGGCAAAATTACATGGACAAGGGAAATATTAAAAAAATTTCAAAGATTATCATAGAAAACGGGAAATTTGTATCACAGAAAATGTGAAATATTTCTACTTTCTGGGAAAGTTGGTTATCTACTTATCATAGAAAACGGGAAATTTGTATCATAGAAAATGGGAAATATCTACTTTCCGGGAAAGTTGGTTATCTACTTTCCCGAAAAGTAGATAATCTACTTTTCAGGAAAGTAGATAGCGACTTTTCGGGGAAGTAGATTATCGACTTTTGGGGAAATATTACCTAATTTTCCGAAGTAGATTATCATAGAAAACGGGAAATTTGTATCATAGAAAATGGGAAATATCTACTTTCCGGGAAAGTTGGTTATCTACTTTCCCGAAAAGTAGATTATCTACTTTTCAGGAAAGTAGATAAGCGACTTTCGGGGAAGTAGATTATCGACTTTGGGAAATATTACCAATTTTCCAAAGTAGATTATCATAGAAAACGGGAAATTTGTATCATAGAAAATGGGAAATATCTACTTTCCGGGAAAGTTGGTTATCTACTTTCCGAAAAGTAGATAATCTACTTTTCAGGAAAGTAGATAAGCGACTTTTCGTGGAAGTAGATTATCGACTTTGGGGAAATATTACCTAATTTTCCAAAGTAGATTATCATAGAAAACGGGAAATTTGTATCATAGAAAATGGGAAATATCTACTTTCCGGGAAAGTTGGTTATCTACTTTTCCGAAAAGTAGATTATCTACTTTTCAGGAAAGTAGATTATCGATTTTTGGGAAGTAGATTATCGACTTTTTGGGAAATATTACCTAATTTTCCGAAGTAGATTATCATAGAAAACGGGAAATTTGTATCACAGAAAATGTGAAATATTTCTACTTTCTGGGAAAGTTGGTTATCTACTTATCATAGAAAACGGGAAATTTGTATCATAGAAAATGGGAAATATCTACTTTCCGGGAAAGTTGGTTATCTACTTTCCCGAAAAGTAGATAATCTACTTTTCAGGAAAGTAGATAAGCGACTTTTCGGGGAAGTAGATTATCGACTTTTGGGGAAATATTACCTAATTTTCCGAAGTAGATTATCATAGAAAACGGGAAATTTGTATCACAGAAAATGTGAAATATTTCTACTTTCTGGGAAAGTTGGTTATCTACTTATCATAGAAAACGGGAAATTTGTATCATAGAAAATGGGAAATATCTACTTTCCGGGAAAGTTGGTTATCTACTTTCCCGAAAAGTAGATTATCTACTTTCCCGAAAAGTAGATTATCGACTTTTCGTGGAAGCAGATTATCGACTTTGGGGAAATATTAACATATTTTCCAAAGTAGATTATCATAAACAGGAAATTTGTATCATAGAAAATGGAATATCTACTTTCCGGGAAAGTTGGTTATCTACTTTCCGAAAAGTAGATAATCTACTTTTCAGGAAATGAATAACTTTTCAGGAGATGAATTATCGACTGGGAAATATTACCTAATTTTCCAGTAGATTATCTGAAAACGGGAAATTTGTATCACAGAAAATGTGAAATATTTCTACTGGAAAGTTGGTTATCTACTTATCATAGAAAACGGAAATTTGTATCATAGAAAATGGGAAATATCTACTTTCCGGGAAGTTGGTTATCTACTTTTCGAAAAGTAGATTATCTACTTTTTGGGAAAGTAGATTATCGACTTTTGGGAAATACCTAATTTTCAGTAAATTATCATAGAAAACAGGAAATTTGTATCATAGAAATGAGGAAATATCTACTTTCCGGAAAGTTGATTTATCTACTTTCCAGAGTATCTACTTTCAGGAAAGTAGATAATCAGTTTCAGGGAATTAGATTATCGTTCTGGGAAATATTACCTAATTTTCGAAGTAGATTATCATAGAAACGGAAATTTGTATCATAGAAATGGAAATATCTACTTTCCGGGAAAGTTGGTTATCTACTTTCGAAAAGTAGATAATCTACTTTTCAGGAAAATGAGATAACGACTCTGGGAAGTAGATTATCGACTTTTGAAATATTACCTAATTTCAAAGTAGATTATCATAGAAACGGGAAATTTGTATCATAGAAAATGGGAAATATCTACTTTCCGGAAAGTTGGTTATCTACTTTCGAAAAGTAGATAATCTACTTTCGGAAAGTGAATAACTTTTCGAGAGTAGATTATCGACTTTTGGAGAATATTACCTAATTTTCCGAAGTAGATTATCATAGAAAACGGAAATTTATCACAGAAAATGTGAAATATTTCTACTTTCTGGGAAAGTTGGTTATCTACTTATCATAGAAACGGAAATTTGTATCATAGAAAATGGAAATATCTACTTTCCGGAAAGTTGGTTATCTACTTTTCGAAAAGTAGATAATCTACTTTCGGGAAAGTGAATAGCTTTTCGAGGAAGTAGATTATCGACTTTTGGGAAATATACCTAATTTTCCCAGTAGATTATCATAGAAACGGAAATTTGTATCATAAAATGGGAAATATCTACTTTCCGAAAGTTGGTTATCTACTTTCCGAAAGTAGATAATCTACTCAGGAAAGTAGATAAGCACTTTTCGAGGAAGTAGATTATCGACTTTTGGAAATATTACTAATTTTCCAGTAGATTATCATAAAACGGGAAATTTGTATCGAAAGTAAAATATCTACTTTCGGGAAAGTTGGTTATCTACTTTCCGAAAAGTAAGAATTATCTACTGGAAGTAGATAATCGACTTTCGGGAAGTAGATTATCGACTTGGGAAATATTACCTAATTTTCAGTAGATTATCATAGAAACGGAAATTTGTATCATAGAAAATGGAATATCTACTTTCCGGGAAAGTTGGTTATCTACTTTTCCGAAAAGTAGATAATCTACTTCGAAATAGATATCTTTTCGGGAAGTAGATTATCGACTTTAAATGAAAGTATATTATCGATTAATATAGAAAACGGGAAATTTGTATCACAGAAAATGTGAAATATTTCTACTTTCTGGGAAGTTGGTTATCTACTTATCATATCATTTTCTGTATCATTGATATCTTTGAAATATTTCAAAGTCAGAATCAAGTAGATAATCTAATTTTCAGGAAAGTAGATAACCACTTTCCGGAAAGTAGATATTTCCATTTCGGGAAAATGAAGTAACCAACTTTCCGGAAAGTAGATGTTCCCATTTCTGTGATACAAATTTCCCGTTTTCTATGATAATCTACTAATTAAAAAGTAGGTAATATTTTGCAAAAGTCGATAATCTACCTCCCCGAAAGTCGATAATCTACTTTTCCGAAAATCGAATAATCTACTTTTCGGAAAATGAATATCAACTTTCAGCGGAAAGTAGATATTTCCATTTTTCTGTGATACCATTTCCCGTTTCTATGATAATCTACCAATTAAAATTAGGTAATATTTTGCCAAAAAGTCGATAATCTACCTCCCGAAAAGTCGATAATCTACTTTTTCGAAAAATAGATAATCTAGCACTTTCGGGAAAGTGAATAACTCCAACTTTCGCGGAAAGTGAATATTTCCCATTTCTGTGATACAAATTTCCCGTTTTCTATGATAATCTACAATTAAAAGTAGGTAATATTTTGCAAAAAGTCGATAATCTACCTCCCGAAAAGTCGATAATCTCTTTTTTCCGAAAAGTAGATAATCTACTTTCGGAAAGTAGATAACCAACTTTTCGGAAAGTAGATATTTCCCATTTTCTGTGATAAATTTCCGTTTTTCTATGATAAGTAGATATTAACTTTCCCAGAAATGATATTTCCCATTTTTTGTGATACAAATTTGCGTTTTCTATGATAATCTACTTCCAATAAATTAGGTAATATTTCCGAAAAGTCGATAATCCTACTTCCCCAAAGTCGATAA